AAGAACACTTATAGCCTCTTAGTGTTGTAATGTGAGCACTTCCTGGTCACTTTTCTTCCCTCGTTCTCTTCTGCAAATTGATTCTGATATCCCACAAAGCTTAAAGAAATGTTTGAATATAACAGAAAGCCCAACGAGACTGAAAATTAATCTCTTCAAAGCAGCATGTTACAAGATATGTTCACAACATGACCAAAAAAAAAATGTGGATAATCCAGCATACACGTTGTTATTGGGTTTTATATAGACCATTTCTCTGGATAAAAACAGTTCAAAGTGAGGACTATAATTTATTCAGAGTCGTTGCTGTCGATCTTTTCAGAAGCAGAAATCTTTTGATTATCTTAAACTGTACGCAGATGAAACCAAAACTGTCTGCATGGCTTGTAACGACTCATTGAGAAACATTTTTCTCTTGCAGTCTGGGTGAACTGCCCCTTTAAAATCATCTGATCCTGGACCAGTTTCCACGACCTCTCTGTTGTACTCTGTCCTCTAATCTGCAAACCAGATCAGCTACATGAAGATGTTTTTCTCCTTCAGCTCTCATTAAGGAGACACGTCATCAAGACCGCACTCTGATTGTGAATGTTTGTGAGTGTGTGTGTGTGTGTGTGTGTGTGTGTGTGTGTGTGTGTGTGTGTGTGTGTTACACAGGGCCTGGCGCCTGCTTTCAAAGGATTCATTAAAAGCAGTGAAAGGCTTGATCTGCGGTTTGGGTTGGATGTATTGAGCATGTCTGCGTGTTTGTGTGTGAGTTGGATTTGATTGGAGAGAGAGAGAAAGAGAGAGAGAGCACGAGAGAGAGAGAGAGGGGAGAGAGAGAGAGAGAGGAAACTAAAGGGTGGAGAGAGAGAGAGAGAGAGAGAGACACAAGCCAATCAGAGAGGGAGAGAGAGAGAAAGAGAGAGAGAGAGAGGGAGAGAGGGAGGGAGGGAGAGAGAGAGAGAGAGAGAGAATGAGAGACAGAGAGAGACAGAGAGAGAGAGAGAGAGAGAGAATGAGAGAGAGAGAGAGAGAGAGAGAGAATGAGAGACAGGGAGAGAGAGACAGGGAGAGAGAGAGAGACAGGCCAATCAGAGGGGGAGAGAGTGAGAGTGTGACTGAGAAATGGGTTTACATAAACCCTGACCCCATGTTATGAATGAAAACATCAATCAATGAGGATGACTAATCAATTTCCCGTCTTGTTCTCTCCTCTCTGCAGGGTGCGGAAGTGAAGAATTACTTTTAATGTAATTCATGTAATCTGATTACAAAACAGCGGCATCTGTGCAGCCTTAGCAAGTTTAAGATAACCAGGGAAGAACTTTTTTTTAAATTCTACACTTGCTTGTCTTTATATAATGAACAATAATAAAACATTTGGATGAGAATGAAGACATGGAAATTGTTTTTGGTGTCATTCACTCTTCATTTTAGCGGCAAACAGCAAATGTGACTAGATTACCCTGTGGATTTCCAGCACGTTACTGGAAACCTGTAATGGGTTTAACTTTGAAATTAACCTCCACTCTTTTTTTTTTCCCTCCTCCCCTCTCCTGCTCTTCCACAATCCAACTGCTCCACATCGCTGCACATACTCTCCCTGTTTGCCTGCATGGTCTGCAGTGTGCAAATTAAATCACACTACTATACGCTATAGGTTAATTAAAACAAGATTTCCCCGAGGCCTGCGCGTACATCAGTATCCCTTCCACACATCATGCATACATGTACTGTAACTACACTCTGGGACAGATCGGTCCACAGTGAGTTCTTGATGCATGCCATCGTCCCTATAGGGCCGGTTAGCGTGCACGAGCTGCAGCAGATATGGCTCTAAATGAGCAGGAGAGGATTAACTGTTATTAATTATCTCACAGCCTCATTAAGTACACAGATGCTCTGGTGAGAGACTTAACAATTCTTCATTAGGAGCAAATGATCAAAGGCGAGGTGCATGATGTACACAAGCTATCTGGTGACGATATCAATAAGTTATCAGCCGCAGAAAGCTCTTTCCGATCAGCTTCTCCCCTCGTCTTTTCACCTCTCAAACTCTTCCTCTCTACAAAATGTGTGATAAAAGGGTGTGTGTGTGTGTGTGACCTTGTGTTGCAGCCCTCATCGATTGGGCTGGAGCTGTCAATCGATCAGTCTGGTCTGTGAGCGGAGATAAAGGCGTTTCTATCTCTGGACACTCCAGTTGCCAGGTTGGAGTGCAAGAAAAGGAGGCGGGCAAAATAGAGACTGAGGGCAATTTTTTTTTGGCCCTGTGCTTTCATCTCTCTGGCCTTGTGAAGGGTTGTTATCACTGTGTTTACTTTGTAATCACATTCCAGTTCAAGTCAGATGTTAGACACAAAGTCTAGTTATTGATGGAAGTCCTCAAGTGTTCTCTGTCTTTGTGCAGAATAAGCATTCAGCTGGCAAGCGATGACACATATTCAGTATCTGTGCAATCATGTAAGAGGAGATATTTGAACATGGGTCACACTGAGTAACTTGCCTAATGGCAACGATGGAAACAAGCTAGGACAGTTCCTTAAAATAACAGGCTTTGTGATGGCAGTGCAGAACCGGTAAGTGCTGATTACCTGTTTCCCTGACAGATAACAGATAAAAACATCTTGCAGCAGATTTTAACCGATGCCTGCAATTTGTCAAAACAAAATCTGGCAGTGATAAACCCAGTTTCTAACCTTTTTTTTTTTTTTTTTTTAATTACTGATGTACAACTGCAAATTTCTGTACTTCACAGCGAGCACTTTTATGTTTTGCTCTCCAGAATTTAGGGCCGCATTCATTATTTTTTGGGGCAAATTTGAGCTTTTTTTCATTTGATAGAACAGCTGAAGAATGACAGGAAATGCTCAGAGGAGAGAGTGGGGGATTTCATGCAGCAAAGGGTCGAACCCACGGCTACTGCAATGACGATTACAGCCTCTGCACATGGAGCGCGCAACATAACCGCTAAGCTATCCAATGCCCCAGATTGCATAGATGCCTAGATGTAAAAAAAAAACAAAAAAAAAAAAAAACCTGTAAATAATTTTACATTATGAGGTCGTCTAATTTGTTAAAACATACCTGCAACTAAATTAAAGAAAGTGTTCAGTGCACATTACATGTTATAACATCGAGTATATAATAGTGCAATGCATGAAAGAAACTGTAGAGACAGATGCATGGTGTTAAAAATATATAATAAAATTCTACTAAAGTGTACAGTACACCATCTGCACAACACTAAAAAAAATGATGGAATAACAAAATCTTTTAACAGATTTCCTTGCGCATAATTGGATTTTAAAATTTCAAAGCACCTGTTTCTCGCTGCCATATTTGATGTGGCTGCCATTCAACATCTGTCACTCAGTGAAATCGGGTATCAGCAGGTATCAGGTTGCATTAATTTTCCTTCCTCCGCACTTATCAGGCAAAAAATTCCTGCATCATAGCGGTGCGCACAAACGACACACACGCATACATTCATGGTGGCACACTGAACCTTGAAATGCTATCTTACCCCTCTCATCTAATCTAAGAGAAATATGTGTGTGTTGGAAAATATGCCCAGCGCCTCACCTTGCTTGAAAAACATGAAAAACTGAAACTGTCGAACAAATACAGAACACAAGAAAGTCATGAGGGACATCACACACTGCAGAGATCTTCTATTCCTCTCTCTCTCTCTCTCTGTCCCAGTATTCCTCCTCCTGCCTGTTCTCTTCGTTCCATCTTTTTTAGGCGTTTTTTTTTCCCCCTACATGGCAGATGAAAAGAAGTGAAAAGAGCATTTGCACACCTGAGTGAATAGAGCTTGCAGGTGCGTGGGAGGAGAGCTTTGGGAATCGAACAGGGTCTCTCACTCTTTTTCTCTCTGTGTTTCCTGCACACTTTCTCTCACTCCCAAGGTGTTTTTACAGCGCCTGTGTTTGTATTGGAAATGTGTGCGAGTGCGAGACAGTGTGCATACATGAATGTGTGTGTTTTTGTGTGTGTGTGTGTGTGTGTGTGTGTGTGTGTGTGTGTGTGTGTGTGTGTTTTTGTGTGTGTGTGTGTGTGTGTGTGTGTGTGTGTGTGTGTGTGTGTGTGTGTGTGTGTGTGTGTGTGTGTTTAACATTTGTTGCACTGTTCCTATTGTGAGCGCTAAACGCTCCTGGCGCTCGGGTTGTATTTAAAAACAACCCTCAGGTTTCGGGTTGACGCAACCTTTACTTACAGATTGTTCCGTCCCATACAAACGCTTGGCCTGGCTCGCCTTGATGACCTCAACAGGTCTTCACACAGCCTAACTCCAAACAAGCCTTCTGGATAAACCAAAACAAACTGTGCTGCGCCATTCACGGTCACTGCAAGGCTGGCAGTAACAATAAACAGGCCCCGAGGCCTGCACGGCAGCCAGGCAGGACAAAGACACAGCAATGACACACACACACTCACACATCATGTGACAACACTAAGCGTAAATGTAACCATAATTCACATGACAGATTCACATGAAGATCCCACACAAGTGGTGATGAAGGAAAAATCCAGTGACACACTACAAAAAATGACACAAATTAAACTATTTTTTAAAGTAAGCTTAAGAAGGAAAAATCCCCAGAAGTGTTTTTTTATCCGACAAAGTTGAAAAAGTGGATTTAGTTCAAAAAAAGTCAAAAAAAGTACAGCTATGTGTCATCATTTCCATAAAACAACGGGTTCATTTGGTCATTTTTTACAGTGTACGTCCTGTACTGTATCCACCCGCGGACCGGATAGCACACAATTCTCAAACCTAATTACTCAAAACACACCCGCCCCATCATCGCCATCATCCCAGAAATAAACAAACACACTCAAGCACAATCAGAAATCAGCCATGCAATCATAACATACCCCCCCAACAAAGACACACACTCACTCACACATACACACACTGCAATAAAAGCTAAACACACATGCCCATAAAACACACACACACTCTCCGTCCTCTAATCCCAAGCGTTCCTTCCTCTCCCTCAACTTACCGATGATGTAATAGTCGTGCATGCTCTTGAACTCGTGGCCCCAGAGGTTAGGCGAGAACTCCTGGAACTTGATGGTGAAGCGGCGCTCCCGGATGGGCTCATCGCAGGTCAGCACGATGTTGGGAGGACCCATCACCTCGCAGCGGTCCGCCTGTTCCCGCGTCGACACCAGGTACAGCTTGTAGAACTCGTACTCGGGCGTGGACCTGGCGGTGTCCAGCGGAGGGCAGATGAGGTCCAGCCGGTCCCCGATCTGAGGGTACAGAACGTAGCCCTTATCGTCCTTGAATCTGGAAAGCGAAGAAGAAGAAAAAGAATGATTAATTAAAAGTCTTTTGACTCCTCAAACAGCAATAAAAAACCAGTTCACAGCCACCTGGCCTTGCTTGTGAATGAGTAACAGATGGGTCCTCTACACCTCTTATATCTCCTACTTCTTATTTCCTCTCCTTGACATGGAACAGGTGCCTTTACAGAGGGGGGGCTGCGGAATTAAATCTTTTACCGCACACGCTCATGAAATCCCCTGTTGAACCCACGAGAAGGACGAAGAAAAAAAACAAAAAAAGCAAAGGAAATATTACCACCTGTTGATGATCCACAAGGGAAACATAAGCACCAATCCACAGCAGAAAAGGGATTTGAAGAAAAACATTTATATATGCCTCTCCCTGTGAGCTACTTAGAAATGACCTCCAGTTCAGGGATATATAGTAAAAACCCTCTACAGTTTACATTTTAGAACAAAACATGGCAAATGTTTGCAAAATCACACCAACAAGCGTAAGAGCAGGAACGTCACTGCTTTTAAATGTAAAGCTTGACATTCGCTTGAGGTCACTGCTAAACAAAAAATGCTGCAGACAAAAGTTGTGATGTATGCACACATCTGCACTCTCAGGTCTTCTTCCATTCAACTCAGTGCACCACCCGCCCGCCTGTCCACCATGGGGCTCCAGGGCCTTCAGCCGCTCTGCCCCTCCACCTCTGGAACTCCCTCCCACCACAAATCTGTAATATCCACCCTCTCTCCATTTTTTAAATCTCATCTCAAATCACATCTTTTTAAACATTCAGTCTGATCATTCTCCATCCGGTCTCATAACTCCTTTATATCCTGTACATTTGTGTTTTTTGTGTTTTTAATGTTAATTTTATCGTTGTGTTGTTACTTTGTTGTTTTTTATCTCTGCTCTGTAAGGTGAGCTTGAGAGTTTTGAAAAGCGCCTTTAAATAAAATGTATTATTATAATTATTATTATAAGACATTCATTATAAATCTTAAACAAACTAGCTGCAATGCAAATGTTCCTTCAGCTCTCATTTGTCTGTTTCATACTTGGACGTGAGCACTGTGGCAGGATCATAGAGGAAGGAACAGAAAGACAAACTAACTGCTGCAGATCAGCGGGATGAAGCTGCCAGTTCCTAAATTCAGGTGCGCACAGTTAATTAGTTTGCAAATGAGCTGTTTTGATGTAAGTCTGTCATCCACTTCTGACGTGCAGATGAATGATGTGCAGTTTGTTTATCACTTAACCGGGACGATTTGACACCTGTCATTTATGGAAGAACACGCAGCATTAAGAGATTCAAATATCAAACAAATTAATGAATATTCATGGTTTATTTCAAAATGATTATACTTCAATGCAGCTATTAGTATTGGTTGGAAGCATTGGTTTTAATGGTGTTAAAGGACGTCTTCACATTGAAATTTGGAATGACTTCAGGTGCATAACCAGTAAGAAGCAGACATGAAAAGTGTTTTTCTAGTATGGTTTTGGAGGACTGGTGGGCCCACTGAGGGCTTTCCAGAGCAGAGAATATGAAACGCAGCAGTCAGAGGGGCATAAACTCAACAAATGACTCAGACGCTGTTATTCCCCTCACAGCACAGGGCCATCTCTAACTGATAAGGGCCAAATACTGTGAGTTATCAACTTCGGTCCCGAGGCTTGTGATGACTTTAACTCTCCGCCTTAGCATGCTCTGCTAACAGCGGGGGAAACCTAAAAAAGTAGTCTGTGCACATCCACAGTGACTTTATCTCGAGTTAAAACAAATGTCACCACTAAGAGAGATAAGAGAAGTGTTTATATAAGGAAAATATTTTTAAAAAGAGGGAGGAGAGTTTCTGGATTTTCTCATCAAGTAACATCGTCCCAGAATGCAGAATGACACTTTGATGTAAAGTGGGAGGAAGCGAATGCCAAAAAATGTTAAGAAGCACATTTTCAGTCACACCCCGACCCCCCACCCCCCCTGACCGAGATGCTTTTTCTGCTTCCAACAAATCCACATGAACACTCGGGAGTCACAGCACTCAAACCCGCTTCATTATTCTCTCTGTTCTGCTGTCAGACAACTGTTCGACCAATTAAAGAATTCAACAATACAGGATCACAAACGCAGAAACAGGCCGAGAAATTACATTTGTATAACTGTGCCGTTAAATAGACATAAAAAAAATTCCCTCTGCTGTGTCATTAGCGACACTTTCATTTGTGATACACACAATTACTATTGTTTCTAAAGCTTTACTGGAAAGCTGACAAAATGTCACGCCTATAATTATACAAAGTAAGAGTGACCGATCTGATTTCTATTCAATGACTTCATCTAAAAAAAAAACACACAACTTTCATTTTCATACATAATTCTAATTGGTCATGGCTTTGAGAGCCAGGCATGGTGCTACATGCTCCACATGAAAACTAAAGAACCAGAATTTAATTAAAGTGTCCCTTGATTTATTTAGCCTCTTAATAATCCCTGAAGTGAAGCTCTTAAAAACACTGCATCCAACATTTCCCAAAATGCAACTTTGTACCATTTATATTCTATACTGCTAAATGACTTGAAACTCCACTCCAGCAGTTTTAGCTGATCAATGAGTAAAATCCATGGAAATGCTAGTCAAACTTAGCTCAAACAGCTTCACATTTTCTCCACTGTCCATGCATGTCACCCCTTTAAAGGCTCTATGACTCCCCAAGGGTGCTAGCCTTGAAGTTGTCCTGAATAACACCCAACAAGACTAAAGCCTCACCAATGGCTTTTAGCACAGCTGTGTTTTTAGCTAACATGCTTACAGGCCCATGTCTCAAGACGTAAACTACTGTTCAGCATGTTTTTACAGCATATTATAGAGGTTGTTAGCATGCTAATATTAACATGTGCCTTAGTTACACTCATAACTTGTACATTGAATTAATCAAAACATCAGTCATCAGTAGTTTTGCTGTGGTTGTGAAGCAAAACACTGGACGACGCATCTTTGTCATCTTGAGAGCCACATTGTTAGCATGGCTACATTTCAGATGAGATAAAACAGGCTTACATGAAGCAAATGTTTGGCAGACAAATATTTGCCAGTGATAATTGGAGAGAGAGGCTGAGCTCGCTGTCTAAAAGAGACATTGTGTGATAAGGGGGATGATAATACTGGACGTTTTTATAAGTGTTTCTAGAAAGATTCGTTTGTTGTACCTAGCTGCGTCTTGCCGACTACAACCCCCTCAACTTCTATCTGTTAGCACGGCGCGCTAACAGCCTTACACCTGCTGCAAATTGAGATGTAAGCCTTATCTGTTGGTGTTTTGGCTGGCGGCGTACACCGGAGGGGAACTTGAGAAAGCAGACTTAGCGGCGGAAAAGCTTTCGCTGAGGCGGGCCCAGAGGCCTGCTGGGAAGCTACTGTTCCACTTCTCATTACCCAGGTCACTCGGGGTTATCAGGCAATACTTAGACTGGAGAGGTAGGCACTCAGCTTCACTCAACACGTACACACATACACACATACACACACACACACCCACACACACACACACACACACGCACACACGCACACACACACACACACACACACACACACACACACACACACACACATTTTTCACCTTCCTCTCGGCCTCAGACAGGAGACCACAGGCACTCACACCATTTATAGAGTATGAACTGTAAACATGCTGCTGGTTCCTGAGGCTTCTGCTCCAAAACCTAAACAGAAAAATCTATTAAACACACACAAACACAGACACACACACAGACACACACACACACACACACAAATGCCCTTCTGCTAAACAAAAAAAGGTTTGCCCAAATACATCCACCCACATCCAAACACACAGGTTTAGTTTTCCCTAAACATTAACGCTGACGACACACATGCTACACACAGTTACACACACACAGACAATTGCGCACACATTTCTAAAAACAAGCACCTTTTGCTTCCTGCATGACGCATTCTGTGAGTGGTATCTGATGGTACCCTGAGTCACAGTCGAGCTGCACTGCAGAATGGCAGCGCAAACACACACACACACACACACACACACACACACACACACACACACACACACACACACACACACACACAGAGAGGACGATATGACTGTTGAGGTAAAATGCCATCGGGCAGGTGCACTGCTCAAAAAAAAAAAGACAGAAAGAAAGAGAAATCAGTGAAGTGAGAGAGAGAGAGAGAGAGGGTGGGGTGGTGGAAAAAAAAAGATATTGAACATGTCAGGGAAGGTTTGTGGCAACAACAAAGAAAGGTGGAGCACAAGAAGAAAGTAAAGACAGACACAAAGAGGGAACACTCAACAGAAGGAAAAGACCCTAAAATGTAGAGAAAGACGAGAGAGGCATGGTGGATGGTGGATGGTGGAAAAAAAAAATCCAGTAAATTCCTGCAACAGAACTCAATTTTCTGATATGCGGCATGTTCAGGGTGTCAGATTTGCAGAGTTAACCCCAGTTAACCTAGTGTGTGTGTAAGTGAATGATAGCTTGTGTGAGCGCACTGTAAACAGGACAGGGTAAAGGGAGACCTTGTTGCAATCCAATCATGTTGGTGGAGAGAGAATAAGAGTGTGTATTTATCTCACCGTTCACACTTTAACGCTCCTCTGTGTGACAATGAGAGTCTACAAACCGAGGCTGCGTTCACACAGCAGATATGGTGATGTACAACGATTCACACATTGTTTTAAAATCTACCTTTCAAAGTCCAGGCTTAAAAAAAAAACTAAAACGGGTAGTTTGTGAGCCGCACGGTCAGGTTTGCTGCTCCGATGGAGGAGAGAGGAGAGAAAAGTGGAGTGGGGTGGACTTTTTTATGGAGTTCATCTGTGACCACATCTAAATAAATCATCCCATTCAGACACAGCCTTTGGCACTACTACGTTTTCCCTTTACTCTTTTCTTTTTTGGCTGCATTTTACTCTGAGAGAGTCTCTGTCTGAGTGTCTGTCTCTCTCTCTCTCTCTCTCTCTCTCTC